CAAAAAGTTGATGCTTTTAGAGTTATGGTATTAAGAATACATAATTTGAGACAAACATGTTGTGATTTAAATCAAACTGACATTGACATACGACAAAATTATACTAAAGAAATACATAAAAAGCTACTGAAGAAAAAAAATATTACAAAATTAAAGGATCAATACTTTAGTTCTCAGATGAAAGCAGAACATACAATCAAAGCAACCCTATTTCACTGAATCATAACTTCAAACTATTTGTTTTAGTTATGAGTGTTTCCACTTACTCACTTCATCATGGTCCTAAAACTTGGCAACATAAAAGCACTAAAATTATTATTTCAAAGCTGGTGTGTGTAGGTCTTTGGTACAGGGTATGCTTAGCATGCTCAAAGCATTGAGTTCAATTCCCAGCACCAAAAATTAACAACTTAAAAGCCCCATATTCTCCCAATTATTATTTCAGCAGTATAAAACTATACTATTACTATCAGTACATGGCTATTAACAATTTCTAATTTAATCTCTTAAATTCTATATGCAATACAATGTGTTTACTAAAAGTAACACATCTGTTAGGTCTAAGCCTAAAACAATCTGTCCCTTCTTGGATTTCAAATTCAGTGCTATGTAACTGAAAAAAAAGTCAACTTAGTAACTGTTTTCTAGGCAGTGTGAGATTTCAACATGTGTACTCTACAGTGTGCCCTATCAATTCAGAGTAACTGGCACACTCATCACTTCAAACACGGATTACCTTTGTGCTGGGAATACGATCTAAGCTGCATTTGCTGGAAACAGGAATGTTTCTGAAGTAACACAGCAAATATACTAATAACCAATATATTTTTATATCCATCTAGACTCGTCATTTAGCCTGAATAAAGCAGTACTCTGAATTTCCTTTCAGGATGCTTAGCAAATATTTATCTTTCTTGATACTTACTTCTCTTTCTGCTTTCTCATTTTCATACTGACACATTCTTTCTTTTAAATGATTACATTCATCAATTAACTCCTTGTTTCTGTCTTCGAGCATCACACTTTGTTTTTCACTCTCAGCTTGAAGTCTTTTAAAAATATCATGAAACTGGTCTTGGATATTAACTATTGTCTTTTCCTTATTATCAGCTTTGTTGTTAGCATCATCTAATTGTTGCCGAAGCAACATGTTTTCACTCTGTAGTTGAGATAATCTCTCCTGTATAGATTCCTGCTTTCCAATGTATTTATTCGCCTTCCCTTGCTCACTCTGATACATGTGCTCAACTTCCTTCATTTGGCACTGTGTCTGGCTTAGGTCTCTCCATGCCTGTTTTAAAACCAAAGTCTTTTCTCTAAGAGCATCTCTTGTATGATGAAACTCAATTTCTAGACTGTTGAATTTTCTTTCAGTGTTAGAAAGCTGTTGGGAAAGAATCTCATTGTTATCTTTGAGGTTAGATATTTCAAAATTCAGCTTGTCCTGCAAACGAAGCCACTCATCCCGTGCTCTCTGGAAAGCAACTTCCAGGTCCCTTTTCGAGGTCTGGATCTCATCGTGGTCACGCACAGCAAAAGCCAGCCTAGAACGGTATGACTCAATTTCTGCTTCCAGCCTTTCCTTATTTTGTTTTTCATTTTCCAGTTTAGAACTCAGCATTGTGTTCTCAGTTGTCAGAATATTAAGCTGTCCGTTGTACTGGAACACTGTTTTTGTAAATGTTTCTTCGTTCAGTTTTATCATCCTTTGAAGTTTATCATTCTTTTCATTCTCAACTTTAATGTCATCAAGATATTTCTTTTCTTTTTCCTGGTTATGATTTCTTATCGTGTCCATTTCCAGTCTTAATGTGGCAATTTCATCCTGCAGCCTCTGATTTTTATGCAGCAGATCCTTTTCTTTCTCATGACTAACAGAAACCTAAGTAAAGCAAGAGATATTTAGCTAGCACTCTAGAAAATATCACAGCATAATTTCTTATGAAATTAAAGAACAGCACGAACAGTTCTACGGTCAAAATGTTGCAATAAATATATACGCAAGTAGAAAAAGAAACAGATCTAATCTCAAAGCTTACAGAAGTATAAATTCCCCAAAATTCAAAACGTAACTGAAGAAAATTTATGAAAATAAAAGAGAATGATTACTAAGAAACTCAGTGTCGAAAAAGGCTTTCTCTGAATTACACTAGGCTTATACTACAAAATGAGAGAATAACTGATAAATTTGCTTACATTAAAAATTAGGTTTAGGCCGGGCATGGTGGTGCATGTCTTTAATCCCAGCACCTGGGAGGCAGAGGCAGGCGGATCTTTGGAATTCAAGGCCAGCCTGGTCTACACAGTGAGTTCCAGGACAGCTGGGGCTATAAGGAGACCCTGTCTCAAAAAGACAAAAAAAGAAAAAGAAAAAGAAAAATTAGGTTTAGGGGCTGGGAGACAGCTAAATACAAGTGTAAAGAGTTTAGATTCCAAGCACCCGTGTAAATACTGGTGGGGGTGGCAGCTCCCCCTGCCCCCAAATCCCAGCACATGGGAGGCAGAGACAGGAAGTCTCTGGGGCAAGGTAGCTGGCTAACTAGACTAGCTGAGTAAGTTCAGCGAGAGCCCCTGCGTCATATGTAAAGTGGGAGTGATCAAAGAGACACCCAATATCAGCCTCCGGCCTTCACATGCACGTGCCTCCAAACAGATGTGAACAGGCATATAGACACATCACACAGACATATACATGCAAAAAAGAAAAATTAGGTTTACATGCTTATATCTAATGGATACAGCCAGTTCATAATAAAAGCCTTAGCTCTTTTATCCAGACAGAAGAAATTTCCTAAAAAGTTTTTAAAATTCTTTTTTTCTGGAAATTTGTTAAAACATGTTTATAGTCAATTGTAGGAATTACATTTATTTATTAATAAATGATAGAGACACTATGTTAGTTAGTACTTCCATATACATAAGTGAACTAATTTAGTGACCACAAATATGAAAAGGAAAAATTAAAAATGTAAGTAAGTTGCAAAATTTTCCCCTAGGCCATCTCATCCTACTGCTGGTGTTCTTTCATGAGGCCAGTTATTTCAATGCTACAAACACATAAATACAAAAGGCCATAATTAAATGTTAATGGTAAATAGGTAAATGCTATAGAGATGCTTAGAAAATCCCAAGAATTCCTGCTGTAATAACTTGTGTTTATTCATGATATCTGAAACAGGTCAGGGGATGGAGCTCAGGGGGCGATTACATGATTAGAATGCACAATGCTCTGGGTTCTATTCCCAACACTGAGCAAAACAAGCAAAAGACATAAGGTCTGAAACACTAATAAATATGAAATAGGAGAAAATACATTGACCTATATTTACTAGGAATAAAATACTTATTAATAAATTTTCACTGGGCATATATTATAGTATATAGTTGTTTTAAAGAATTCTTTGTATTAAAATAATTACTTCAAATAAGCTGTTGCTCAGTAAAAGTAAAGATGTGACATCCAAAATAAGGCTTCTGATGATGCAACTTTGTACTCCTAGCTAGTATAGGAGTAATAAAGAAACTAAACAATTAACATTTGAGGAGAGTGAAATCGCTGTCCAGAACTAGAACATCTCTTTTTAGTAGCAAGGTTTTGAGACCATGGAAAAACAATCAATTCCCATGCAAAATACTAAAAGCCTTTGTTTTGGATTAGGCCACTGTGTTTGTGCAGCAGACAAACAGTATTAAATTAAGAACATAACTTTACAGCTGGAGAGATGGCTCAGTGATTAAGAGCATTGGCTGCTCTGGCAGTGGACCCTGGTTCAGTTCCCAGAACCCACATGGCAGCCCACAACTAAATGTAACTGCAGTTCAGGAGATTCGACACCCTCTTTTGTCCTCCGTGGGCAAAAGTATGTACATGGTGCACTTACATACATGTAGGAAAAACATTAACACTCACACATACACATATTTTTAAAAGTAAATTAATTAAAAAATCTTTTTAAAAAAAGAACACTGGAGAGATGATGGCTCAGTAGTTAAGAGCACTGGCTGCTTTTGCAGAAGACCCAGGTTCGAATCCCAGCACCCACATGGTGGCTAACAACCATCTGTAACTCCAGTTGCAAGGGACTGGAGACCCTCTTCTGTCCTCCATGGGCATTGCATGACACAAGTGCACTTACATACATGTAAGCATAACGCTCACATTAAAAAAAGGAAGAGAGAAAGAGAGAAAGAAAGAACAAATATTACTTTACTAGTGGGCTAGAGCTTCCACTCTCTACACCTGAAATATGTCTATTTATAATACACAGGGTTCAAAACACCTCTACATTTTCGAAAATATGTACGTATAGGTATACACATGTATTTTGAAAACTAAAGAAAATACCTCAGAAGTCATTTTCTTTTGTGCCATTTCTATCTCCTTTTGTTTGCACAGGTGATTTGCAAGGATCCCATCTTGTAATATCCTGGCATTTTGTTCTCGAGAAAGTTGCCTCTGAGTGTCATTTCGTTCCTCTAAAACCTAGACATACATTTCACCAAGTCTTCAGTCTCACACCACTATGTAGGTTGGGGAGAGGGTATCTAAAAACTTAATTAGGAATAAACTTAAAAAAAAAAAAAACTGTCCCCAGGAAGCAGCCTATGGAAACACAAGGACCTCTATCCCACAAGAAATACTCAAATTTCAATGGCATATTATAGTTAAATTTGTTCAAAGAGCAAAAGTACTTCTTAGAGGCAGTGAGAGTACTGTAAAATAAAGTTCTGTCACAAACATTTAACTAGAGTTTCAAAGTTAGTCTGTATTTTAAAAATGGCTAAATTAACATTTACGATTCAACTCAACTTACCCTCTCTTCCTTCATTCAGAAAAAAATAATGAAACATCAGATTCTTAGAGTCATAATAAAATAATTTTAGTTAGTCATGCCTGTGCTGGATAGATTTAGTTGTCAACTTGACAAACCTGGAACCTCAACTGAGGAACTGTCTCCATTGCATTGGCCTGTGGCTATCCCTGTTGGGTATTTTCCTGATTGTTAAGTGATGTGGGAGGGCCCAGCCCAATGTGGGCAGGGCCATCCCTGGGTAGGTGGTCCTGTATTGTATAAGAAAGCTGAGCAGAGACTAGGGGAGCAAGCCAGTAAGCAGCATTCCTCCACGTTCTGTGCCCCAGGTTCCTGCCCTGAGGTTCCTGCCTTGGATTCCCTTGATGGACTGTGCTGTGTTGGTTTTGGTCAGTGTTTCATCACAGCAATAGAAAGCTAACTAAGAAGGATTGGTGGAATGTTGCTGTGACAGACATAACCTTGGTGTTTTGGGGAGGATTGCGGAAGCGTTTGGACTCTTGGGCCAGAAAGGCCATTGAGTGCTTGGAGCTTAGTGAGCTGTCACTGTGGAGCTTGAAATAGTTATACTGAAGAGAAATGTGGATGATGGAGACCTGGCTTGAGACATTTCGAGGGAAGCAAAGACTATCAGGGCTGTTCACATGGTTACTTTGAATTGAGAATCTGCGGTTTCTGGTTGGCCAACACTGAAGAATCAGCTGTGATTAAGAAAAGTCCAGGACCAATAAAGTGAAACCTTTGCTTTAGGGACACCTGATACTGGTTAGCTGGGGCTGAAAATCAGCTGCGAGTACAAGAGACCAGCATCACCAAGGTGAAATCTTCTGGGAGGTTATTTCCTCAGGGTCAGTGCACAGAAGCTGTGGTCCAGAGGGTGCCCAAGGTTCTATGTCTTTTTTATAAAATTACTTTATGTGTAAGAGTGTACTGCTTTGCATGTATGTGAGTGCACCTGTGAAATGCAATGCCTTGGAGGTCAGAAAAGGGCTTCGGATTCCTCTGGAACTGGAGTTGAGGATGGTTTGTAGCTGCCATGTGGGTACTGGGAATTGAACCCGGATCCTCTGCAAGAGCAATCAGTGCTCTTAACCACTGAGTCATCTCTCCACCAAGGCTCTAACTCAATCTGGAAGCAGGATTTGGTAATGTGTAAGAGTGTCCTGCATGGTTCTGGTGTTGAAGGCATGGAGAGAATCTGAGGCTTTGTACCCTGAGAGGCCAGAAGAGCACATTGGTGAAGGTACAGCCTCAGTTTCAGTAGAGACCCCAGCATATTGGAGATGCCCCAGGACCTTGGGGCAACCACCAAAGACAGTGGTAGGTGTGGAATGGAGCTGGCCTGAGACTACAAGACAAACTGTGTTGGCAGAGCCAAAGAAGTGAAGCTGCTCAAGCCCTTTGGAACCCAGGTGAATGAATCCCATCTGCTAGACTTAGGCTTTGCCTGACTCTTCCTTTTTTGAAATAAGACAGTGCTTGTTTTGGATTTTACAGGAGTCTACAGTTAAAAGAATTTTGGGAGATTTTGAAATTTAAAGTGTTTGGATTTTTTAAGGGCTGTGGGATTTTTAAAGTTGTACTTTTTTATGCTGTGATATTAATATTAACAGCATATTTTGGGGACAAGAAATGAAAAGGTTTTGGTTTAATAGCAGTGTGTCCGTGTGTCAAGTTGACTAAGGGCCCACTGTACCAGATAGCTTTAGTTGTCACCTTATTACACTGGTTAGAGGGAACCTCAACTGAGAAACTGTCTCCATTGAACTGGCTTGTGGCCAGGTCTGTAGGGCATTTTTTTGATTTATGAGTGATGTGGGAGGGCCCAGCCCACCATGGGTGGTGCCACCCCTGGGCAGGTGGGTCCTGTGTTATGTAAGAAAGCAGGTTGAGCAGAGGCCAGAGGAGCATGTCAGTAAGCAGTGTTCTTCTTTTGAGTTCCTGCCTTGGCTTCCCTTGATGATGAAATGTGCTGTAAGCCAAATACACCCTTTCCTCCCCAAGCTAGTTTTGGTCAAAGTGTTTTGTCACAGTTATAGGAAATAACCAGATCAGTGTTATAATTTTCAGGGTGAGGCAGTATTAGTCAACAATGGACTACACACATCATGGTGGAAACACAAGATGACATTAACGAGTAATACGATGAATGTCTTACAACCATAGGATGTCTGTGTAATGACACAACCGCGAGCCCAATTCTCATCATGTATATGAATACATAATTAAAGGGGCATTAGAAGTAAAACAAATAAAGGTAGGAATATGAAAATTTTACCAAAGGTTAATGACCTGATTCAGATTATTTTTCACTGTCTTCAACTCCATATCTAGGGTCCTCAGAGAGATTTCAAGTTGCTGTTTGATTCCAACCTCTCTGTCGTACTGCTCTTCTTTCTTCCTAAGCTGGTCCGTCACTTTCTCATGAAGCTGATCAGCGCTTCTCCGCCTCTCCTCCTCTTGTTTCAGTGCAAATCTGAAGTTACAGAGTTATCTTCAAATCATCTTATCTTAAAATTAAGGTTGTTTGTACAAAATGAAGTTTATGATCTGGACCTTCAGATGGTAATTTACTGTCCTAATAAAACTTCTCTGTTGTTGAATATTTTCCCTTTTTATTACTCTTGATTTTAATTTCTCAATTCGATCTCTTCCAAAGGGCATATATTGCTGATAATAATGAGTAAAGAATAATTTAATTGGTAAGTTTCTAGAATTCTGATAAATATTATGGAGAAGTGATTTTGAACTTATTCAATAAAGTTACAAGTTGAAAATATCTTTTTTACACAGCTGCAATTACTACTTAATCCAAACAGATAATTTAAAGTTAGTCAACTATGTAAGTATTACAATGAGTTTAGATATTCACTAAAAGTAGAATTTATTTTCCTGAAGTAGTCCAGGTTTCCCTAAGAGTGATTCACAGTGTAAGACAGCACTTTGAGGGTCTCTCTACATTAGGTGCATCTGCACACTGCCACAGTCCAAGAGCAGGCTAAGCAGACACACACCTGTGCTCAAACTTCCTATGTTTTATTGGCCGTGACACTTTTAAAGAATCTTGTTTATGCATTTTAAAAATAAAAATTCCTTTGGGGAAATTAAAAATTTTCTAGAATTGAATGAAAATGAAAACACAACATATGAAAATCCATGGAACACAATAAGGCAGTCCTAAGAGGAAAGTTTACAGTTCTAAGTACTGACATCAAACAAATGAGAGAGAACCCGAATAAACAACCTAATGTTGTGCTTTGGAAAAACACAAACAAAAAGTGCCGCAAACAGTAGATGGGAAAAGAATTAAGATCAGAGAAGAAATTAATGCAATAAAAATGAAAAATAAATACAAAGAATGAATGAAAGAAAAAGTTGGTTTTTTGAAAAGATTAACAAGATTGACCAACACTTCTCTCTAACCAAAAAAGAGAAAAGACCCAAGTTAATAAAATTAGAAATGACAGACAGTAAAAGAGACACTGAGGAAATTCGGAGGATTGTAAGGATATAACTTCCAGGAAGCCTTTATTCTACCAAATTGGAAAATTTAAGAAATGGACGAATTTCTTAATGTATGACATGCCAAAGTTAAACCGAGAGAGATAAAATTAAACAAATTTAGCACAAGTAACAAAACTGAAACAGCAATAAAAAAAACCTTTCAGTCAGGAAAAAAAAAAAAAAAAAAAGGCCAGCCTTGGCAGATGGCTTTACTGTAGAATTCTACCAGACCTCTGAAGAAGGAAACCGGATGCTTCTCATAACATTATTCCATAAAATAAAATTATTCCATAAAAGAATGATTTCAAATTATTGTTAATAATTTGGGCAAGCATGACATGGGTACCTAAACCAGATAAAGAAACAAGAAAAAAACAAAATTATACACCAATCTCACTGATGAACACAGAGGCAAAACTAGGGGTACAGGGGTGTGCTGGATAGCTTTAGTGTCAACTTGACACACCTGGGTTGAGGGAGCCTCAACTGGGGAATTGCCTCCATTGAAATGGCCTGTGGCTATATCCATGGGGAACCTTCTTGATTGTTGAGTATGTGGGAGGGCCCAGCCCACTGTGGGTGGTGCCACCCCTGGGCAGATGGGCCTGTGTTGTATAAGAAAGCAGGCTGAGCAGGGGCCAGGAGAGCAAGCCAGTAAGCAGCATTCCTCCATGGCCTGTGCTCCAGCTCCTGCCTCCAGGTTCCTGCCCTGATGAACTGTGACTCAGGAGACGTAAGAAAAAATAAACCCTTTCCTCCCCAAGTTGATAGTGGTCGGAGTATTTTGTCTCAGCAACTGAGAAACTAGAACAAGGGGACATATTTAAACATAATAAATGCAAAACACACCAAGCTCACCATCATGCTAAATGGAGAGAAACTTAAAGGATTGCCACTAAAATCAGCAACAAGACAAAGGTGTCCACTCTCCCCATTCCTGTTCAATATGGTGCTTGAAGTCTTTGCTAGGGCAGTTAAGACAGGAGGAGGAGATAAAGGGGATTCAAATAGGAAAGGAGGCAAACTGTGCCTATTTGCAGATGTTATGATTCTATACATAAAAGAGCTTAAAGACTCCAACAGTGAACTCCTGCAGCTGAGAAACACATTCAGCAAAGCACTAGGATACAAAGTTAACACACAGAAATCAGTCTTCTCCACCAAGGACAAACGTACGGAGACATAAATCGGGGAAACAGGACCACTCATAGAGGCCTCAAACAAATCTGAGAGATAGACCCGAGCAGCAAAAAGGGAAGCACTAAAGTACACACTGCTCTCGTGGGGTTCTCAGCCACCAAGAGCTGTCCAGCAACATAAACCACAGGAGGCAGGTAGCTACAGGTTCAGCTGGCAGGCCCTGCCCTTGTGCACACAACTGGCAGTCTCAAATTTCTTTTATTTAATTGAATTTTAGTGTATTTATACATAAAATCATCTTTATACTCCTTCCCCCTCCCCCTTTGGCACCCTCCCATAGCCGCCCCACTGGAGTTCATACATTCTGTCATTTGTGTTAAGGCCTATCATGTAAAGTTAGTGTCCCCAGATGCCCCTCTGTGTAAGTTCAACCACTGGGGTTTAGTCAGCCTGTGTAGAGTCTCACCCTTTGAGAAGATTAGCTCACCCAGCAGTAATCAGCTGCCAAGAAATCTTTGACCAAGGTCGGGATTTGCTGTTCATTTCCACAGTTCTGTGCTGGGTTTTTGTCTTATGCATACTGACAACATTGCTGTATGTTTGTATGAGAAGGGTCCCAGGCACCTGTAGGACCATTTCCATATGGTCATGCACCTCCTCCCTGCCTCTTACAATCTTTCTGCCCCCTCTTTCACAATGGCCCCTGAGTTCTGGGTAGGTGGACCCCAATATAAAAGTCCTGTCCAAGGACCCACACTCTGCACTCTTATTGTCTGCATTTTGGCCATTTGTGGCTTTTGTGTTCCTGGCCCTCTGTTGCATGAGGGAGCTTCATTGGTGAGAACTGGAAGATGCATTAGTGTTCTCTTCATCCCTTGTTCTACCTTCCATGAGTCACAGGTGTAGAGGTTACATCCTAGATGTGCCACTTAAGTTTGGGCAATTCACAGAGAATCTCTGTGTGTGACCAGTGATATAACTCTGTAATAACCTTGTTTATAAGGAGTTGGTGCTAGGATCCACAAATGAGGGAGAACATACATCTTTTGTTTTTCTGAGTCTGTGTTATCTCACTTAATTTAAGTTTCTAGATCCATTCATTTACCTGCAAATTTCATTATTTCATCTTTCTTTACCCCGAATAGAACTCCAATGGGTAAATATACAACATTTTTGCTAACCACTCATAGCACATTCTGTATCACTTTTCCTCTTACATTTTACCATCACTAGTGACATTAATGGGCATTAATCCATGCTAAGTGCATTTCTGCATTTTGTATTGTATTGTTTCTGTTTGTTTTGTCCTCTCTGAGTGGTATCAGAGATTGAGTCCCCAAGACCAGGCCACTCAATAAGATCACCCAATTTAACAAGAAGAGATATCCAAACCAACAGTTAAATCACAACACAGAAACTCAACAGCCCAGGCACATGTCTTCACCAAAAGATAGCAAATTCCACAGTAATGAATGTAAAGGTACCGAAAGGCAAAATGCCAGATAAGATTTAAAAAGCATGATCAATGCCCTTAAAGGGGATATAAATAAGCAGATGAATTCAATCCAGGGTGCAGAGGAAAGTAACAGAGAGAGGAAATGTCATCAACATGGATGAGCAATATGGATTAAAAAGCCTGTGACAGAGAAGGAAAATTCATCAAGGAAATTGAGATTTTGAAAAAAACTGAAAAACAAAGCTAACAGGTAAGTTGGAAATGAAAACTCAGTAAATCAAACAAAACACAACAGAAAGCATCATCAAGAGACTCAACAATGCAGAAGAAATAGTATCAGGGATGGAGGACAAGACTGATGAATTCAATCATCAATAAGGAATAAATAAATCATAACCACAACATCTAAATACTCTAGGGTGTGATCAAGAGACAAGTCTAGAAAAACACTATTCGAATAGGAGGAGAAATAAAAACTGAAGGCACAGGTAATCTATTACATGACATCATTGTATAAAAAAATCACAAATTTAAAGAAAGAAATGTACATTTAAACATGGGAGTTACTCTATAACAGGGGGGCACTGCCCCTTCTAGACATGATGATGGCTAATGAAAACAAACCAACCCTTAATGCCAGGAATGGACTCCCTCTCTAGAAGCTGTTTTTCAGGGGTCCTATGGACTCTCAAACTATACTGACCCCTGCTCTTGGTTATTCAAGAGAACTGGATAGTAAGACCCTGTTACTGAGGATATTATAGAACAATCAAGGAGAAATCAAGGTGGTGCTGACCTCAGAGCCTCATCTCTACTGGCTAGTGTTCATAATGCTGGAAGGTGCTACACAAGCTATTAGAAGGAAAAATAATCATCAATCTTACACAGCTGTGAATCCTGTGAACTACAGTACCTGGACTGATAAGATATGCCCACTGGTGCAATAGTGGCGTGAGTATTATGGGAGTAACCAGCTACACTCTCATTGGGTTTAAGGTCTGCTTCATAGGATGAAGCCCATACCTGACACTGGTATCAGGTTTAGGAACCTGTGGCTAGACAGGTCACAGGACATGGGGCGCGGGAGCCCAATACCAGTTTTCTACTAAATAGTTATCATATTAACTGACTCTTAATGGCTTATTGGTATACCAATACATTAGTGCATCTCTCAACTCTCACCAGAGAAGTTTCCTTATGCAGAAGATGGTGCTTAACACAGAGTCCCACAACTGGCCAATGTGCAGAGAACAAGAGACTACAGAGTGCCTCCTAAGGTTCAGGGATCATTGCAGAAGAGGGAAGGGAAAGATTGTAAGAGCCAGAGGTGATGGATGATCACAGGAAAGGGAGTTTTCCAGACAGCAGGTCAGTTACTGATGTGAACTCACAGTAATGGTGACAGCATGCCCAAGTCCCATGCAAGTTCAAACCAAACAAAATCCTAGCACAGACATGGGGAAGTACAGTAAGAAACCTCAACCCAACCTAAGGAAATTTGGACAATCAGTGGCTGATGGGAGCCGGAGAGACAGTCTCTTTTAGGGATGGAACTCTTGGTAGGTTAACCAGGTGCCAATGGATGGAGCCACACTAAAGGCCATTTGGAGGCATAAACATAAATTAGACTCTATAGGCCTTTATATATACATATACATATACATATGAGAACATTTTAAATTGGGTGGGGGCAATATGGAGAGGTGCAGATAAGGGAGGGGACCTAAATATCATCAAATTACATTATATGAAAATCGCAAAAAAATTACAGAAAAATGTAATTCTTAATAATTACATAGAAAACATGAGTGTTATGTGATAAGACTGAGTGTAATATATTGCAGAATTTATTAAAGGTGAATAGGTACATAGAAAAAAATTTACATAAATATTCTTGCAGTAGTTTAATATGAAAACAGTAATAAAACAGTACTGTCTGGGGGCTGGAGAGATGGCTCAGTGGTTAAGAACACTGGCTACTCTTACAGAGGACCTGGTTCAGTTCCCAGCACCTCAATGGCAGCTAACAACATCAATAAGTTCAGTTCCAGGGGATCTGATGCCCTCTTCGGGAACGGCATGCACAGATGTATTTACATATATGCAGGCACAGGCAAAACACTCATACACATAAAAATAAAATAAATGGTGCTTGGAGAGATGGCTCAGCAGGTAAGAGCACTTGCTGCTCTTGCAGAAGACTTGGGTTCAATTCCCAGCACCCACACGGCAGCTAACATAAACTAAGGTCTCATACCTCAGAGTGGAGAGCTCCTGCTCCCATTCTACTTTCTCATGTTCTAACTGTGATTGTGCTTCTTTTGATTCTGATAGCTCTTTCTGTAATCTATTAAACTTATTTTCCATTCTTTTCATTTTTCCTGTAAGTAGTTCACAGTGACTTCTTTTAAACTCTATTAATCTTTTGTATGAATGAATTGCGTCTCGGATTTTCAAAAGGCAAACAGTATCTGAATCAGGGAGAAAATATAGGAATAAAATTAGTACTTTTTAATATATAAGACTGCATTTTTATATTCATTCACTTATACACTGAAGAAATATATACTGAGTGTTTACAACATGGAACACATTATACTGAGCTCAGCAAGTAAAACAGATAAGAGAGTTCCTTGCTCTTGTTCAGCTTATAAAGTATATGGAATATATTATATACATACATACATACATACATACATATATATGTATATATACTGGGTGTTTATTGCTTGTACTATAGGGCATGTATAGAAGTCAGAGGATAACTTGCTAGAGTCTGTTCTCTTTTTCTACCACGTGGAATCTTGGTATCAAATTCAGGTGGTCAGGGTTGGTAGCAACCACCCTTACTTGCTAAAAACATGAAAGTAGAAGGGTGTTAGACACCCACTACAGTAGAAACTTCAAAAATTTTATACATATATAAAAAGTATAAATGGAGTTACCATACTGGGGGGGAGGGGGTGGGTGGGGGAATGCTTGTACACTAGATACCACAGGCTAGAAAATCAAACCCCAGTGCCAGGAATCGGTTACCTCTTTCAGAGTTGTTGTCCAGTGGGGTCCTTATAGATCTTCAAATATTATTAGCTATTGCCATTGCTCTTGGTTACCCTCAAGAACTTGACAGTAAGACCCTACTGCTTGATACTATATGCTTGAGTTACAGACCACAGAGGGATCAAGCTGGTATTGACTTCAAAGCTTCATCCCTACTGGCTAGCTTTCATAGTGCTGGAAGGTCCTTCTCCAGTACTGGAGAAGAAACGTTATCATCAATCTTATCCAGCTGTGAACCCTATGAGCTACAATAACAACTGGCATTTCAAGATAAGCCAACTGGTACAATAGTGGCATGAATGTTATAAGAGTAACCAACCACTTTCTGCTGGATTTAAGGCCCACACCACAAGATGGAACCCACATCTAGCACTGTTAATCAGGCTCAAGAATCTGTGGCTAGATGGGTTACAGACCCTAGGGGAGAATTTAAAACTATTATTCTGCTAAATAGGCATAGCATTAAATAGACTCCTAATGACTTATTTTATACTCATTGATTAATGTAGCTCTAAACTTTTGTCAGAGAAGCTTAAAAAAAGATGGTAATTAACACAGAGACCCACACTTTGTCAGTATGCAGAGAATAAGAGACTGCAGAGTGTTCAGCCCTAAACAGGACATCTATACCACACTCCTTCCAAGGTTCAGGGATTGTCACAGAAGAGGGGATAGAAATATTCTAAAAGCCAGAGGCTCTTAAATGACAACAAAACAGTGTTTTCCTGACACAATAGGGCAGTTGTACACATGAACCCACAGCAACTGTGACTACATACAAAAGACCTGCACAAGCTCAAGCCAGACTAAATCCTAGTATGGAGGGGGCAGGCAGGTACAAAGGCCACCCTTAGCTGAAGGGCTATTGGCAATTGATAACTGCTACAAGAGGGAGAGTCAGTTTTAATAGTGTGACCCCTGGTGAGTTGACCATGCTCCAGGGGATGAACCACACCAACACGAATTGGATTTGATGGGCTTAAAAAAAGGACATAATCCTAGCACTTGGGAGGCAGAAGCAGGTGTGGATCTCTGTAAGTTCAAGGCCAGCCTGGTCTACATAGTGAGTTCCAGGAGAGCTGGGGCTATGGGGAGACCCTATCTCAAAAAGACCAAAAGAAAAAAAAAGGACATAAAGCTGGGTGGGTAGGGAGGTGGGGATGGATCTGAGAGGAGATGGGGAAGGGAGTCAGAATGAGTACCACAAAGAAGAGAAAGGGCAACAAAGATGCTTCTGGCAAAGCTGTGGGAAAGGAAGCACAATCGTATGCACTTCTGGTGGGAACGCAGACTGGTGCCACTATTAGGGAAGTCAGTGTGCTGGTTCCTTATAAAGAGAACTATCATATGACCCAACATCAGAAGTACAATAGCACCTGGGTTTATTATTGTACTGCTCACAACAGGTAAGACATGGAAATAGCCTAGATGTTCATTAAAAGAGGAATAGGTTTTTAAAAAGTTGCATATGAATATGTAAACATATGCACAAGGAAACGTTTTCAGCTACAAAGAAAAACACCATCGTGACTGTGCATGAAAATGGATGGAACTGGAGAGCAAATGCTAAGGGATATGCCAGACTCAGATATGACATGTCTTCTCTCATATGAAGAGTCTAGATTTGAATTCTTGTATACATGCATGTGTTTGTGTGAAGGTGTGTACAGATTACAGAAGCTGAAAGAGGACCCTGAAGAGGAGGAAGAGACCTTAAAGGAGAAGGTATGGTAGGAAAGAGAGGTTAATGGAATTTATGTGACATGGAAGTATAAGGGAGGAGCGTTTCTGGGGAAGAAAGGAAACAGCAAAGGGGTGCAGTAAGGGTTGCGTGAGGGACAACAGCAATAATGAATATATTATACGTAAGTATAATGATATCTATGTCTGCAAGTGCCATAATGAAACCCATTAGTATGTTAACTTAAAAATTAATCTTAAAAACTTCATTAAAAAGACAGCAAAAGATATTAACACTTGCCAAAACTTCATTAAAAAGACAGCAAAAGACATTAACACTTGCCAAAAAATAAAGAATTAAATGGAAACTAAGCTGGAATGGCTGTATTAACACAAATGTGCCCACTATAACAAAAGCTGCTACTTGTAATAAACAAAGTCATGGCATAATGATAAAACATTCAATGAATCAAGATGTACAAACATGAGTATTTTACCTAAAAACAGCTTCAAAATACATGTTGCAAAAAATGACAGCACTACAAGAGTAGGTAAGTTCACAAGATGACAGAACAAGGAAAAACATCACCAACACTGCACTCCAACAGCGCCAGTCAGCTGAACAGACAACTCAGACTACAAATCTTAAAGGCTTAAGTCAAAATTAATTGATCTGTTCCTGGCATGCTCCATGATCAGAAAATCAAATTAGAAATAACAGAACTATTTTTAGAAAACACCAAAATATTTGGGAAGAAAGCCTACATCTAAATAATGTATACATGAAGTAATGAAATCAGAAACTAGAAAGTATGAATGAATGCAAATAAAAATACAAGACATCAAAATGTGTGGTGGGTAGCTAGAGCAGCTCTTAAATGAGAAAGTTTAGTGCTGATGGTTTCTATTATAAGACACTCTTACAGCGTTTTGGCCCCAACGCCTTCCTCCCGCCACCACCGCCGGAGGGCACCTTGCAGCAAAGAGAAGCTAGCTTTAAACAACAGTTAATATGATCAGATGTGAATCTGTTAAAATCTATAATCATGCTTACAGATGAGATCATGTTTGCAGGAGGTGGAGGTGGACTGGCAGGGGAAACAGCTTTCAGATTTCTGGAGTATTCTAGACAGAGCCCAGGCAACCTCAGCTGGTGAAAGTCAGGCAAAGAAAGCAAGCAAATGCAACACAGAGACTGGAAAAGCCATTCCCACTAAGGAAGGTCCAGTGGAGTGGCTTGAGAGCTCTGGTTTAAAGTGGGTAATGGTCCTCATGCTATTTTAATGTAAAGCATACTTTGGACATGAACACACTGTCACACATCAGTGTTCTAAGGGCATGCTAGGCAATGTGGGCATACATTACTATAATACACACAGCAAGGCCTCAGACATACACAGTGATCATACCTTTACACTCCATCCTAAGATGCTCGATTTGCAGCAAAATACTCTCATAATTAGGGTAAGGCAGCTCACAGCCCTCAGAGGATGTTTCTGATGACTGAGTCAAGTCATCAAGGTCATCCATAACACTTATTTGTTTGCTGACCTATAAAATAAACACAATTTCAACTGTTCCACTAATAATTATATATACTGTACACACAGTAGCAGCAATTTTCCATTTTACTTCCTAAGCAGAAACACAGACACTTCATAAAAGAATTCACTTTTGTCAAAGCATATCTTTATCAATAGCTACTGTTATATTTACCCTTTCAAAATAAATGTTACATAAGATTCTATTTGTTATTTGTT